ACCACCACGTTGTACGTCACCGCCGGCTCGCGGCAACGCACCAAGTTGAACACGCTCGGCCGCGCGCCGCCCGCGGCACGCTGCGCGCGCGGCGTCGCGCCGCAGCGGCGCTGCGAGGCGAGCAAGTTCGCCGTCGCGACAAACTCGACCGCGAACTGGTCTTTGCGGATGTCCCCCTTGCCTTCGTTCTTCAGCAAAAACGGCTGCACGTGCCCGTCCGACACGACGAACTTGACCAACTTCGGCTTTTGCTTGCTGGCGTAGACCTCTACTGCGTCGACCACCGAAACCACCGAGCTCTGGAAGTACATCAGCTCCACCAGCGACTCGCAGTTTTCCTGCCGGAACGGGACCGTCGGCGCAGTGAGCAGCCCGAGCTCTTTGTACAGCGCGAACGGAGCGAACGCCTGCACGCCGCAGTCGGCGACCAGTTGGAAGAAGTCGATGTCCGCCTCGTGCGTCGCCAGACTGAAGTTGCTGCTCACCGGGTTCGATAAGCCGGCCTGCCGCAGCTCGAGCGCCGCGAGTGCGGGACAGCGCGCGCGCAAGCTGAAACACGCGCCGCCCTCGCACACGACCTTCTCGGCAATCTCTATGAGCGAGCTGTGCAACTTGCTGAACGTGGCGCAGTACGCGACCAGCACTTGCGCCAGTTGCATTTCGTGCTTCTTCGCGAACGCCGTCAAATGCTCGAGAGCGCGTGCGACCAACTGCTTCCTGCACTTGAGTGCGAGTAGCTCGCGCCTCCTCATGTCCGACAGCTGTCTGACGCTCGAAACGTTTTTCAACAAAGCGAGCGCAGCTTCGGCGCACGCGCTGCAACTGGCTTTGTCGCTCGCCGCGCCCGACACGATGACATCCAGACACTGCAGCAGCGTCTTAAATCCGCCGCGGTTGCTCGCGTGGCGGCTGTGAATCAGTGAAAACATGCGCCAGAGCGAGATTTTCGGAAACAGCAGTAGTTGCGAAAGCAGAATCGGGAACGCAAACGCGACGCAAAACAGCGACAAGTCGCAGCGCGAAGCCAGCACGTACATGCCGCAATACCACCTGTGCAGCGGGACCAAGCAAAACAGGTCGTCGAATCGCGTGAGCATTTCGACGAGGTAATGCTCGTACTGAATGTTCGCACAGATAAACTCGTGCAGCGTCTGCGTTTTTTTCCCCTTGCTGCGCTGCTGCGCAAACGCGGGGCTGAACAGCTCTAGCAAATAAATAACCTTCATCACGCAGTCAGTGTTGTTGCTCGTCGAGCCGATCAAGATGCTGAGCGCCGCAGTCATCGCCTTTTTAATCACCGTAAACAAACTCAAGCACGTCTGCGTAATCTCAATTTGCAGCAAGCCGAGCTGCGCGGTGCGATGCATTGTCAGCAGTGACGCCGAGTCGAACTCCGTGTTCAGCAAGAACTCGTCGATCAGCTCAATCAAGAAGTTCAAAAACTTGTACTGCACGCTATAGTTGTTCGGCAAGTGCGGAATCACGCGCAAGAAGGTGTAGTAGGATAGATTGACATAGCTCAGGTCAAAGTGCATCAGCCAGTCGTGAAACACAATCGTGTTCTTCAGCTCAATCAAAACGTCCGCCAGACCGTTTTTGGCTCCGCAGCTTTCGAATGAAACAAATCGCTTCAGTTGATGCTCCGGTAGTTGCAGCTGCGGCGGCTTACTGCTCGAACGTTGCTGCAAGAAATTGTCCTTGACTACCGGAAAGACGAAATTCGCTGCGTCTCCGCTTGCAGCGCGCTGCAGATTTTCGCAAAGTTTCCGATGCGCAGAGAGATGCGCTTGTTGCTTCAGAGTGTTGTCTGCTTCCACACAACTTCGCAGCAGAGCAGTTAGCGTTTCTCGCTCGCTGCAAGTGCAGGGCTGTCCTTGCAATTCGTGTTTCCGCAAAGTTTCAAGATTGCTCAAACAAGCGCGACACACTTTGTCTTCCTTAATTCCATCAAACATGTCAAAGTCGAGCAAAATATGGTACTTAGAAAGTATGCCCATTAAATCCAGCGCGTTGCTAATGTTCGTGCTTGATGCGCCGTAGGTCAACAGAAAGTAATCGACGAAGTTCCGACGCACTCCGCTGTTTATGAAGCTGTCGTCAAAACAGCAGGCGCTCACAATGCTGTTGTAAATGTAGCCCATGTCGTCGCTACGCGAAACGATGCTGACAGACGCGCCGCCGCTCTCTTGCTTAGCAGCAGCTTCACACTTGTCTGCAAATGCATCGTGATCTTCGCGCAGTACGTGCAATACTAACTGACTGTACTGCGACTCGTTAGACAGCTCGAGAATGAGAATACTGTTTTCTGGGGTAAAGCAACGATTCAGAAACTGACTGACCAGCCCGCCTCTCTTCGCATGCGCTTCTGAGTTAGTCAGTTTGAAAGTGTGAATCTGATTGGCGACGTATGCCGCGCACGAACACAAAGCTTCTATAACTATGTATTTCAGTGTTTTGACACTGGCTTCCACAAAGCTGCTTTTACTCGTGCATTGAAACCGCAACACAGTCACGGTAAACTCGACAAGTTCGGCTTCCGAAGATTTTTGCAAAATATGATCAAGGTACAGTTGCGGCAATAAGTACAGCAAACAAGCTGGGTAAATGAAACAAATATCTTTGACGAACGCAAAAAGAGTCACGGGCAGCAACGTACAATCTGCGACAGAGTTAAACAAGTCAACGACTCTAAGGTAAAGACTCGAAGCTTCGTTCTGCGTAGCATACAAGTAGTCGCCAGCCGATATGCTCGATACGGAATCGCAAAACGCCTGTAAGTTTTGCAAGAAAAGTTGCAGTCGCGCTGCGTAGTCGCTTCCAGCAGTCTCACTCTGAGCCACTGCTTGGCTTTCCGAAATCAGCGCAGCATGGAGACGACTGCAAATCATCACGCCTACGGGTGTGTGGATTTGCGAGATGACCAATCGAAAAAGTTGCGTCCAATACCAAGAAATCACGGCGTTAAACTTGTCTGAAGACGTACTCGAGTCCAGCAGATCCGCGAAGCGAGTTTGAGTCTTAGTCACACACTGACCTTCGATGTAGTCGACCTTCGTGAACCACTCGCACTGTCGCAAAACCCAGGAGAGACCCGGGGTGGCAAACATAGACGGCGATGTATGTGACCCTTTAATACCAAGTACCAGCACTAAGCAGTCAGTAGAAATACACTTGAACTGCTCCACAGACGCCAGCTTGCGTACACCAAACATACAGCAATAGCGAATATTCTTCGTGATAGTTGCGTACAGGTGACTAAGAACGCTTATCGATAGATCAATGTGGCTTTGCACAATAAACATCAGCAGCAGCCGGAGTGCTTTGTACGTTCGTAACTCGCAAGAGAGCAGCGCCAAGGCTACATTCAATGCGCCTAAGAAAGCAGCGTCGGCGATTTCTGAGGCTGAACGAACGTTAAGCAGTCTCGGAAGCAAAACCGCAAGCCGCATGCTGTCGAAGCCGTTGTCGACGCACAGCTGGTCATACGCTGCCACGAGCTTTAGCAACGCTTGTTCGAGTGACGCGCAGGAACTGACAGAGTGCGGCGGCATTCCAAAGCTATTACTGCAGTCTGCAGTGCGTGACACCGCGTCGTATTTGGAGCAAACGCGAGTAATCGCATAGGCGTAGAACACTCTCATCGTTTCAGCACTAGGCACGGCTTGAACATATAAAAGCAGCAGCTGCGAAAAAAATGGACTGTGACTATTGTCGCAAGCCTTTTCCAAAATGCATACGGTGAACAGATCATTCAGCCTGCTAGTTTTGATCGTGCTCGCATCCTGCTGTGCAAGCCCCTCTCGGGCTTCAGCCGGGACGGAACATGCTTGCCCGCTGCATCCGAACTTGCCGCTTCGCGAAAACAAAACGGTGCGCAACGAAACACCTTTTTCCTTCAGAAGAAAAGCGCTGGTCATTGCTGCAGCAAACGAATCAGTCAAGTCGATCTTTAACAAAGACGATTTAGTGAAGCGGACAGTGAGGCGAGCAAAGCTTTGGTCAACCCAAGCCGGGAAAACATCGGCTGGTAAATCCGCTATCTGCTCGCCAGACGGCTGCTGTGCGCCCTGCGTGTG